CTATTTCATTTTTAATAGGCATTTAGTATATATAATCACGTTCAGTGCTGTGTTTCATTGTTAGACAAACCAGTAATCATCATTACAATATACACCATCTTATGCAAATAGGAAAACAAACGGAATTTCAACTGTTATATGGTAACAGGTGGCACTTCAGTGTATAGTAGAAATGTCAGCATTTTAAATAAACGTTCAATAGCTGTAGATAATGTAAACTTAACTGTCGGTATGTTAACTAAAATGCTATTTTAGGCACATAAATGTTTACATGGCAACAATTTCATTATACTGTAAATGACGTCACCTTAAGGTTAAGGGTACTACTGCATAGTTATAATCGCAAAGAAGAGTTCCGCTTAGTTTTTCTTTTTTATTTGGAGTATTCCCCCTTTGATATCGAAGCTGGAGCAACCAAAATGAGGTGTACTCGTTGGAGTAACTTATCTAATCACTTTTTTGTTTACGAATTTGTGGCTCATAAATTGAACCTTATTTTGATGCTGCCCACGTATAATTCCAGAACAGAAACGTTGGTAAAGTGAGTGATTTGCCTTGTAAGCATCATAAGTTTGAAACCTGTAGTTTATTTGTTTTTCTTTTCTTTTATAAAACATTCAAATTTCGAACACCTACAGTTCTGTCAAATGCATGTTAAATGTGATTTTTATGAAATATCTTTTTAACATGTCTTCAATGAATATTTTATGACGGTGTCAGTATTTATAACATAGTTTAAATTGCTGGTACCCATTACCTAATACATATTGTAACTGGTGTCATTTTGATAATTTTACTGTGACTGACATCCTAATATTTAGGATCACCTAGAATCACATCGATGCATACTGTAGCTATGTTTGATTTCGTTTTTATGTCTAGACAACTGGTTTCTTCCCAGCTAGGGTCGTCTTAACTATTCCTTCATATTGTTTTTGAATATTGAAAGGTTGTCTACTTAACAAAACATGCACCAGCCAAATTATACGAACTGCTGTTTTTTTTGAAACGAAAAAGATCAATTAAATCATCAATTTTTGGTATGTTGAATCACTCTTATATTGACAGAATTCAACATCGAATGGGAAAATTCACTGATCTTGTCATTTATAATAAATTGCTTTTTACAAAAATTATTTGACGTGTTGTTCAACTTTTCCAGTAGATGTTAGATAAACAGGTCTCCTATTACTTGATGTTTTAAGGAGATGTATAAGAAAATATAAACAAGTAAAGGAGTTTGGTTCAACTTCAAAGACAGAACTTGTACTCTCGTGACGATGGACCACTGTGCCACATTTAACGACAACAATAACAGCCTAAGAAAAACTATATGATAAAAACAACTCCAAAGTACCAATCCCTTCAGTAGGAACGCACGCTGTGAGCTGACATGTCAACAAGGTCTAGATAACCTTGCTTGGAAAGTGATATCGGTGAACAATGTTTTAGTGACTCTTCTTGATTCGCAGAAATTGTGTTAATGCTTCTATTGCTTAAATCATTTCACATATATATCCTAAAGATATGACATATTTTACCGACTTTGAAGGTTACCGATATCAATCGTTTTAGCAAACATCCTTTAACGCCTGTTTGGTCTCTTGTTTTAATTATGTATGGATATTTGAGAGAACAAGTTTCATCCAACTGGATAGGTTAGAGGCATTTTCAAAAAGTGGTAATCGAGGTTACTTAGTTATATGGAGCATGGTAAATTCTACCTCGGGTGCAGAACCTCAGCAAACAGCGGGGATATATTTTCGGGGATATATCATTAACAATCAATATATCTGATATGATCTTAATTAAATGAAAATCAATACATTTTTACACATCTCTTTCTATATTTCATGATATCTTTAATTCTCATAGAGATATAACTTGTCCATTTAAAGATATTTCTTACTGAATTAAGGATATCTCTTTTAATCTATATTTAAAAGATACCTTAAAATTCAGTTTAAAATATCTCAATTAAAATATATAAACATAAATATATATCTTTTACATTTAAATATCTCACGATTCGAATTAAAGATAACTCTGTTTCATCTAAAGAAATATTTTATCCATCAGCGACCCTACTTTGGGTAGGAAATGTGAAGTTAGTTTGCAATACCCATGTTTACGGATGACTGTATCTGCAATCCTCTTTTCTTTAATTCTCAAATATCTACACATGAATACCATTCGTGATCTAGCTTGCGAACTTCCTGTTTCAAAACAAGGCATTATGTCACCACAAACACCTTATCTAAAAGTTAAATCGTTACGCCCGAATGGAAAGCAAAGCTGTCCTTATAACATTGTGGCGAGAACAAAAGATATTATTTAACGTAAGTGGCCCATATTTTGTCCACCTGCTATTTCTCAAATAAAACTGCTTTGAAAACCTAGACAGATATGTCTCCTTCGACTATTTTTTTAAGCTAGCATGTTGATCAAGAAAATATGTTTGGGAAAATCTTAAATTTGACTTTGCGACAACATGTGTCCTTTGTTTGCGTGATGTCAAGACTTCAAAACATACAGCAACGTGTTATGAATGACTTGTTTAACGTAGCTTTACGTCATGTTAGATGCCATCGATTTTGCACACAGTTAATAAAAATCGTCGTTTCAGCTAACATTGTTGTCTCTTCTGCTTGGTGCAATTCATTTTTGGCATAATGTATCTTTATTCATTAATATTTTTGAATTTAAACAATTCCCCTTCAATATTTAAATTATTGTAATTAACGGATTTCACGCACCTCCCCTTCTCTTATAACAATGATTTATACTTTTTTTTAATTTTCCGGCCCCTAGCATCAACGATTAGTTCAGGAAGAACGAAACAGTTGTATGTTGCAGTGTAAGATATTTTTTCGGCAAATTGTTTCTATAACTAAATTTTTAAAGGTTTATTCGGTTGTGTGTGTCTTACATTCAAACCGATGACGTAAAGCACCGGGTACATGTCGGAATGATTAATTTGCAGATAGTTTTTAAACTCACAATAGCGGACATCTTAGTTTTTTCCTGTGAAAAGCAGATAAACCGGTACGATATGACACTTTGATCAATTTTCTTTGGGATTTTAAACGAACAAAGAAGGTAATTTTTACTTTTGAATATTCAAAGTGGTACAATGATCCAATAACAGGTATCCAATACCATTGAACGTTTCCAGAATTTTTAAATTTTATTTGCCGTCGCTTTTGTTCCTGTTTTTCATACAAAAGTTTTGCTAAATAACTGTGATAACAAGTCTCACTGAATCATTGAGACACATATTTATGGTATTTTTTTACTTTTTTCAAATGACACATTTGTGTTATATATCTCCGTTGAGGGCTGAACGTTTCATGACCACGATTAATTAGATTGAATACAAGATATTGTAAATGTGAACCATAACTCACATAGATAAAACGGGTAAGTGATGTTCTTATTTACTACCTTACAATTTCTATGAAATAATAATAATAAAAAGTAGTATAATAAAGACATTTAAACGGTTATTACTAATCTATAACATGTATAAACATTTCAGAAAATACAAAATGTCAATGGAGTATATGTGTTTGAACTATTGAACTGTGCATAAATTAATTTTTCCTTGTACAAAGAAAATGTAATTGATATCTATAACATCAGTATACAAGGACAAAATTAGAACTCAAAATAAAACATCGACAGGAATAGAGGACACAAAAAAATCAAAGGAAAAGAACTATTTCTCCCCCAAAATATCGGGAGTCGAAATAGGAAGTTCGGAAAGGACGGCGTTTTTTGCTGAATATGCTATACTTATCATGATGGCTACCGTCAAAGTTTTAGCCAGGAAAGCAAGATTACTTACAAACGACACGTTCAGAAAAAAAACAGTTTTGACAATAAGAGTCAATCAAAGCTCAGCTGTAAACGGGTCATTTTGAAAATTACCTGGTAGGAAGCTTCTAAGGTGTTTTGTTTGTCAGCAGGACAAATCTACTTAGAAAGAGACTTATTGGTGTACAAGGTAGAACTAATTGTACATGTTTGTCTCATATTTATATGTTTGGGCGTAGGACGGAATCCATTTATATTTATTACAGTTCATTACATCCCATGGTCGTTACATATCAAAATGTGTAGGACGTAATGTTTTATCTTTGTGAAGGACGAAATGTTAAATATTTGTGAAAGACGGAATCTTCTATCTTTTAGTGTAGGACAGAAATTATATGATTATGTAAGACGACATATGCAATTTTGGTTTCATAATTTGCACGAGGATAGAATATTATATGAATTTGTTGGGCGGAATATGAAATCTTTGTTTTATAATTTTCACGAGGATGGAATGTTATATTAATTTGTTGGACGGAATATGAAATCTTTGTTTCATAATTTGCAAATGGACAGAACTTGTAGGATGTGTAGGACCTAGTAAATGATTTTCCTATTGTACAAGCCTGTTATAACGTTGTATGTGTCGAGCTGTTAACATTGTGTGTAACTGTGAATACATGTGTAAGGCATGGGGTGTATATTTTAGATATTACACAAGACCTCCATCATGTTCTCAAGTTTATTCCCCGTCTCTCGAAAGAGAGAGCCTGTAAAATAAATACAAATATAATAATAATTACTATCTCTAATAATGGACAATGTGTGTGTATATTTGTTCTTTATAATATAATTAGTTATGATATAAGTAAATCATACTTTGTAGTTTGTCTGTCTTACCATGGCCTCGGTCGAGTAGTATCCCTTGGCAGGTAGCTATAGCTGCAGGTACAATGTATTAACATGTAATATTATGCTGATTTGATGCTCAGCTCGGAATGACTGGACAAGGAATGTTGGAGTGTGAGGAAAAGTGGTCCGCATGCGTCGTCTATATAGGCCGAGCTGCATGCACAGCACCAGTTATACACATGAATGTGATCTCTTGTTATTCAAGTAACACTAGAAGTCACGGCTGACTGCATACAGTTATACATATGCTAACAGGATATAAATAGCTAAATCGCTGCATTCATCGATTTAACTTCCTCTTTAGAATCATGGCCGGCAACAATAAGAAATGGAGGCTTTTATGGTCGGAGAGAACTTATAATTTACCCGAGGTTATTGAGAATTCTGGCATCCCAGTGCTTGTGAAGGTAGATGAAGCCATATATGAGATTAACGATGATCGATTCACACCAGGGGATTTACTGCAAATACACTGTAAGAAGACTATCACCAAAGTTGTATGTCATGTATTGGAGTCAGGTGATGGAAGTGGAACTCAACCACTAAACAAACAAAAACAGACAGGAACTTTAGCGGATGAAGATATTAGCATTCCTGTCGAGTACAAACGGCAACTGACCATTTATCGTCGTGATGCAGGACACAAGGTCTACCAAACCGTCCCTCAGCTGGTAGAGGAACGGCCAAGGTTTGCACGTGTCATCGACGCCTTCACGGACACAAAAGGGAACATTATCAGTGCTAAATCTGACATTGAACTCTGTCAGGTTGAGAAGGGAGGCGGGCTGTCGTGTGTCTGTGATGGATACACATACAAACTTAGTCTCGAACAACCGATAAAATGCCTTCTGCTGTCGGACAATACAAAGTACACTATTCAAGAGTTGATCGACACATATCCACTTCCTCAGACCGTGGAATTCTGTAAAGCAGAATCACCAAGCCAGCCTAGTACTGCTTACACAGGGGTGAAAGATCCTTCCCTTGACGGCAAATTTATTGAGATCAAAAGTGTAATGGAACAGGATGTTTACATTGGTACCCTCAATCCCTTTATGCCAGCACAAGCGTCAACCAGCAAAAAGGGCAAACGAGGTTCAGAAATTGTTGTTATGCCTTTCGATAGTGTTACCACTTCCCAGCTTGAGGTTAAAATACCACAGCAGTCGGATGATCCCAACTATGGGATGATAATGGCCAAGACATCTCCAAAGACAGATGCTGCTCTAACTGTTATCAAAGAAACTATTGACACTGTGAATTATCCTAAAGTTTTGTTTATTCCCATGAAAAAACCAACACCCCCAGTGCCCTCTAGACCACAGAAACGCACACCTGGTAATTCACAAGGAAGACCAACGGCACAGTCTAACAATAAGGGTAGGTACAGCCAGATATTGATACATTAGTAATGTACGAGCTCTGTAGATCCTACAAGTCCTAGGTGTATCACAGAGATTTGTCATGCAATATCTGTCTCAGGTTAAATGATATATAGCATAAATTGCATTTATCACATGATTTTTGAAGTGATTTAGTAAATACCCACATAATGTTTCTATACACGCATGTAATATGACCTGTTGTAACGTCATCATATAATAATGCATGACGTGACAGACTTCCTTATTATACTATATCATGACGTCACAAATGAAACAATAGATAACCAGACAAGCACAGCTGCATACTTCCAAAACGACCAGAAATATATTTGTTCACGCATTATTCGCAAAAAGTCATGATCATGTCATAATGTGGATCATAAAGTCGTTCCCATTTAATATAAAAAATTAAAAATATTTGATGAAATAATATTTATAAATAATTCTATATACAATTGAAACTCCAATGGTGACATCTCCAATTTAAATTATACATAAAACAAGATAAAGTAGTACTGATCGATACAAATTAGATTACACTAATATATCCAATAAGATATTTACTTATACCCCACAAATGAAGTTTGAGGGGTATGTTTATATATAGAAATCACACAGTCTATCTGCCTATCCATCTGACAATGATCCTTGTCAGCGCAACTTCTCCTGAACTGTTGGTATGGTTTTTAAAAAAATTAACAACTTGTTAAAGTGAACCTGCATACTATGTAGATGTGCATGGAAAAAAAAGTCAATAAAACCACTGTATAAACCTTATGAAAAACTCTTACTACACAACTAATAAGTGTTTCTTTGTGACGTTTCGATGATGGCTAATACGGTATGTACTCTGTCACCTTCATCAGACAACTGACCAGTGAAGCGTATGTACACACAGGTGTAAAATGTGCGCGAATTGTCCACAAAATCGATGCCGATTCGACTAGGCTGTAAGCGTATGTACAATAAATTCTATATATGTACCGAAATGACTCAAACACTTGGTCATATATGTGCAAGAGTCTATGAACCCCCTCATATCGATTTAGAACTGGCCTATTGGGGCGTATTCAGAATCTTAACATAGAAACAATTATTGGATGTGTTACAAGAACTTTTCATAATCCATACTTACCAACCTAAAGAAAATGTTAGAAATAACTGTATAAACATGTTAATTGGTGTATGTGATAGTATGGTGAAGCTGATGTGGCACGTACGGCGCCTTAATATGGATAACCAGTAAAGGGAATATTACATAGATTACTGAAGTGTACTTAAGAAAAAATATGTTGTATTGATTATGATTATATAATAACGCTAAGTGATACCAATTTAATGAGTAGGTAATATTGCTATAACGATAAGGTGATATTACTATAAGATGCATTGATATCTATATAATGATTGATTAGGTGATGTTACTATAAAGATTAGGCGATATAGCTATAAGATGCGGTTATATCTATATATTCAGTATTTGATTTTGCTATAATGATGAGGTGGTTTCACTATAATGAGCAGGTGATATCACTATAATGATCAGGTTGTATATCTATTATGTTAAGGTGGTTTCATTATAATGAGTATGTGATATTACTATAATGATAAGGTGGTTTCACTATAATGATTAGTTGATATTACTATAATGAGTATGTGATTAAACTATAATGATTATGTGATATTGATATAATGATTATTTAGTATTATTATATAGTTTAGGTGATTAAACTATAATGATTATGTGATATTGATATAATGATTAGGTAATATCACTTTAATGATAAGGTGGTTTCACTATAATGATTAGTTGATATTACTATAATGATTAGGTGATTAAACTATAATGATTATGTGATATTGATATAATGTTTATTTAGTATTATTATATAGATAAGGTAATTAAACTAAAATGATTATGTGATATTGATGTAATGATTATTTAGTATTATTATATAAATTAGGGGATATCACTATAATGATAACATGATATTACAATAATTATAGGTGATTTCACTAAAATGATTGGCGATATAATTTTATGATAGTGCTATTAACATATCATTTTACTGAGATCACTTAAATTGAAATTGAAGTACAATCGGGGCCCACTATGACACAGCCTAGTGTGTGCCAACATAATAACCCGCCGAAAACCGCACTACCTTTTCGCATTGATGGTTTTCCTAGGGACATACCACGTGTTCTCGTATACGAGTAATTCAATTTATACAAGATGTTATTTAAATGTTTTGTTTGCTTTCTGATCAGGATGATGATTTATTCATTTAGGCTTGTATTTGATGTTTTCTTTAGAATTGACATGTATACTGGCTCCCTCCCCTCCCCAGCCACTATTGTGAGGTAACCCGAGCTAATTTAATAATACCTTGTCTATACCTAATTTTGCTTTTCAAGATATGCAAGTTAACATCGACTAAGCCTATAAGCTCCTGTTATATCCAGGAATTAGTGCAATAACAATTTTGCGTATAAATGGAATCTAACGACCTGTCTGGTGATAAATACACGTTTGACCATGTAGTTGCTCATTATCATAATTTGATCGTTTTCAATTACTGATCAACACAGGTTAGAGCACATTCACTTCCTGAATATCATTGTAAACAATATATTCACCAGGTCAAAATTAATCAGTAGCGTAGCCGCCTTAGGCTCGAGTAGACATGTTTTGTCAAGTGTTTGTTTTTAGTTCGTGTAAATTAAAACAAAAATAAACCTTGATATGTGTTTTTTCACTAGAATAAAAGATAACCCTATTAGGCAAAATACTGAAATTTCGTTTGATTTTTTTTCGCAGTCAAAAATGATTTTGTAATACACATAAGTATGTGCAATACACCATTCAAGTTAACATTAAACAATAGTCATGCCACATAAAAAGTTTGTGGTCTGGCAAATTAAAAATATTGAAAGTTCAGAGACCCATTCTGAGGTAGTCCCTGGAAGTGGAAGTCCCGTCCTCCAAGGTTTCTCAAGGCATAGCGTGATTTCTTTATATCCATGCCCGCCCTACCAGGAGTAGGCATGCATCTTTTGATGTTGGTTGGAGGTAGGCTAGCAAATAAATACAAACATCATACCTTGTAGGTACTTATTTCCTTAAGTAATGAAGATTATTTTAGTCCGTCTTTTAAGTCAATTACTTCTAGTAGACTAATTACTGTAATGTAATCGCATGTCTTTGGTGAATATATTCACTGCTATCCAGAAAGGGAATCAGAACCTAAAAGGATGTACAGGAATAGCAAATGTCTTTAACTAAAATCTATGGCAATGCTTTTCTCTAGATCTCATGTCGTTCAATAGCATATAGCCAGGTCTTATAATCTTCTATATCTACCTGTACAGAGATAAACAACCTCAACATGCTCAACGTCTGGGGGTTTTCCGAATAAAAGGCGAAACAATTTCGACCCAAACATGTTTTCAATAATGTAAAGAGTACACTTCAATAGTTGATGAAAGATTAAACAAGTAAAGAACAAACAAAAACATTGAAAATGTCATAACACATTTTTAAAAATCCTTCTTTCCCTATCATTAAGGTTTTTATGCTAAATACATGTTACAGGTCTAGTAATTGGCAGGGAATTGTATAATTGTTTTCTTTGCTGCGGACAATAGCAGTTTCACTCTTAATTATTGAGTAAGTGAAATATGTAACATTTGATTTTAACTGTACATCACAACAGTGCTGTAAATGAATGTCTTTAACTAGATAAAGTATTTTCATTCCATTACACTCCAGTAAGTTTTCCGTTTCAACCTTCCACTTATTATTCGCAATATTAAGTTTAGGATTATTGACTATAAATGATGTTTGATTCATTATTACATCATTATTGTCCACCTATATATTATACAGTTGTAAACTTGTTTAAAGGGAAATGTGTATACTAGCATGACTCATTGATAAGATGCATATACTCATCTAGCTGAACATAGAAACACGCCCTGTAAAACTCTTCTCTAGGTGATTGGAGATTGGTTGAGTAAGAAAACAAAAGCGTATTCTGAGTAAGCTACAGCCGTCGCAATATTCTGAAGAAACATGTGTTTAACACGATCCTGGTATGGTATACTTCATTTTACATGTTCTCTAAACCTTTGATTATTCTGCTGTTGTCTAGAAATGTTGCCTCACACAATGCATATGAATCTTCTCAACTAACTGACAAAAATAGACACTTAGAATTTTATTTAAAATACACCTTCATATACCAAGTAAGTTAATAATGAAAGCTATTCTTTTCAAGGAAGGTTACAAAAAATCATTAAGCACTATAGTTGATCATCTTGCTAATAAATCAGTCTTTTTATATTTTTATCACCTATATATACTATACTATTGCTTTACCAAGAATGAAAAATAAATGTTTACCACAAAGTGTTTCTTATTTCCTAGTGCAGGGTCTCTGGAATACTACTTCTTCATGTGTAAAACAGTATCCAACACTCAAAATTTGAAAATAGGAAGCTTCTTACTTATTACAAGTAAATAATACCCACATGTGTCTGTCTATCATACTCTGTTGTATATTGTTTTAAATTATATTTAACGTTTGTGTGTACATTAATGATAATAATATAAAACATTTGATATAGCGCCCTATTTTGCTAATATAAGCCACTCTAAATTAATACAATGAGCATATACATTAATCAATATAATTTTGAGGAATCCGCTCTCTCAAGAAAGAAAGATTTTTTTTTATTTTTCCTTTTTCAGAAAATGGATTATTTTTTGTTAAATTTGTGGGACGACCTATAGATCCATAAGTATAAAATGCGAAATCTTACAGCTGTTTAATTACTATCAAAGGGGTATCAGGAATGTGCGTTGACATAAGCGAAGTTGGACACTTAATCGTTCTTCAGGATAACGGATATTTTTCTGACTTAGCTGTCCGTGGGGATAGGGGAGGAAAGTCATATAAACAATTTAACAAAAACAAAATGGTAGAGATATGTTCCCATCTTCGAAAGATTCCTAATACAATTAGTACGCCCATCGGATGTAATCATAGTCCTTCACCATAAGCCAAAGCTATGAACAAAAGATTTGAGCAGAATCTGTCTTTTTGATATTTATTAATGATCGAGTAAAAGATCCCAATGGGTGTACAATCCGGAAAAATATCATTATCTTCCTAGTTGATTCGATACCGAGCTTGGGGTGACAAGTGTGGCTGTATAATATTACTCCCTCTCTTTCAGGTTCAAGTTTCTGCTGCACAAGCATTAATCATCCTCATCATCTCTCGACATTGATCACTGTCCTTATTCGATAATTGTTAGGGGCTGCGGTGGCCAAGTGGTTAAGGCGTCTGACATTCTGCTACCACTAGCCCTCCACCACTGGGTCGCGTGTTCGAGACCTACGTGGGGCAGTCGCCAGGTACTGACCGTAGGTCGGTGGGTTTTCTCCGAGAACTCTGGCTTACCTTCACCACCAAAACTTGACACGTCCTTAAATGACCATAGCTGTTAATAGGACGTAAAACACAAACAAACAAACAAAATATCTTAATTTTTAAATATGTTTGGTGGGTGGGTGGTGAAGTATCAACTAAGAGGAGACCTCATGGAAATGACCTTGGTGCCTAGGATACAATAAAGTAGTTTAGGTCAGATGTCATGGATATAAGTAACATAGAACTAGTGGTTAGCGCCTGACAATGCACCGCCTGCAAATTCCTCAAAATTGTATTGATTATTGTACATGCTGATTGTATTTAATTGTATATCAATGTACAGTAAAGGCTTATCATTAGCTAGATAAGGCGCTATATCCAATGTTGTATTTAATTATTATTAATAGCAGCAAGGTCCCCTTCAAATTAGAATAAATATATTTCAAACAATGTCCTTGCTTGTCGTTCTTGCTCAGTGTAAAACGAATATCTAAAATCTAACTTCAAATCACTGTAACTTATCTTTGTGTTACCGCCTGTATGCGAAATCCTTCAACAATTAAGCATCCACATTCGTTCCGGTGAATTGCTTGTTAAATTATTAGAATTCTATATTTCTCACTTTAAAAGGGAATACTTGTCTAACCTCACTGTAAACTTCAGAGAGTAAAGTTTTTCGTTATTCTGAATAACATTTTAACTTTTCCCCTAAAATATAGTAACGTTCGTGCAGCATCAGTTACCTATTATGTTGTTGTGTATTGTATTCGTTATGATATGAAACATGTGTGTTGTATTGTTAAAACATTTTTTTTCTATAGAAAAGAAACAATGTACAAGTTTAAATTTTGCTTTTTACATTTTGGTCATATAACTCATCCTGCTCACACTTTTCATGCCACGAAAAGGAAGGGCCTGGAAATCAAACATTCAGTCACTGTTCAGTGCCTCAATGGAAATATTTGATCTGTTTGCGATATCCTCAGTAGTATAAGCATATAAATTGTGAAAATATGAATTTAGAAAACGCATGCAGTTTATCTTGTTTGAAATTAAAATGATAATAAAATAACAAATGTTGTCGTCGGTCCTTGTATACTGTCACTGAGGTTGACTTATGTAGTTGAACATCTAAAATTTCCTATGTTAAATCGTGCAGCGATAGGGACAATCTTGAAAATTGTACTCCCAGGAAAAATAAACAAAGAAAAGGCGAAGCGTTTGTTTGCGCATTCATTGTCATACTCAGGAATTTCTAGACAAAATCTATTGTATACAGAATACGTCGCGATGATTATGTTATTGCTCTCGTTACTTATTATTGGGCTAACATCCATTTAGGTCAAACAGTTAAGTACTTGCTTTTGGAGTTAAGTAATATATCCGGGTCGACTTTTGTATCAACCTTTTTACAACGGTCACACTTAGTAGTACTTTCCCTCGCCATCAACCGACCACTGTAAATGGAATTTATTCTTGAGCTGTTGAAAGAATTACTCATTTAAGATATGTTACGCATAGCCAATTAGATAACATTATATAGGGTTTTATAGACATCATTGCTTCTTTCGCTTTATTCAAGAACACTTTCAGACCTGATTTTTAGTTCCAATGATTATTCCAAAATTAACGAAATGTGATATTGGGATGCAAAATGTGTTTGTTTGACTTTCAGAATCGATTTATCAAAATTTAAACATGTTTCCTTGCCACGTTTTAGTGAATATTTGATGAAAAACAAATATTTCATTGAAGGACCAGATGATGATGACGATGATAGTGATTATGAGCCCATTGCTCCGCCACCGAATCCGCCCAAGCCCGGTAAGATACTCAAAGTAGATAAGATACTGTTTAGACCAAATGAAAATTATTTTTTATGCTGGTTATGAAGTTTCCAATTTTGTCTACTATTTTATGACTACAATATTCTATTTTTCCATTCATTATTCAATGCCATACTGAATTTCATACTCCTACTGTTTCATTTATTCAAAAACGGTAGTTTTACAGTGTCCAATATTTATTCCGTACAGTCTAATGAAATGATGTTATTAAGTATCGTTCTGCTAATCTCAGCCCTTTTTTCTTATTAGCAGGAAAAACTGCTTTTATTTTCTTTTATAGCAAAATTTATCAATTTTCCGTTGATACTACACTAAGGATGAAAAAAGGGTCAAAGGTATGAAAAAAAGAACTAAATTGTAATGTGTTACGTGCCGTAAAGCATTCAATCTACCTAATGTCACGTATGCCACAGTGGGCCCTTGGAACATAACGATATTTCTTTGGGCACGCTTCTTCTGCTATTATGATATTTGCATACCAATTATCAATGAAATGAAAGCACGTGGATTGTGTAAACATTACCTCTGTCCCTGTCGAACACGTAGTATTATGTAAACTTTACTCTGTTCCAGTCGAACAATTAATCGTCATTCGTTCGATTCTGCTCTCGTGACATCACATGAATTCACTTATGCATTATGATAACATAAACATGGCTTCAATCCTGCGCGCGGTGAGATAAGTAGCAGTCGGGAAACGATATCGCAAACTTAAAATTGACAGAAATTTAAGCTATTGCGATTTTTCTTCTTTTCATACCTATTTACTAACATTCATGAAATTGTATGATTTAAATTTTAACTGCAGAATTTCCCGACAGATTGCGACTCGGTTACTTAAATGGTTTTCAGGCAATCTGAAATAACAATATCTATTAAACAATGAGTTTTTGAATGAAACAGTACTACTAACATGCCATTTTGTGTCGTTTCAATAATTGCAGGTCCCAGCAAACTAAAGGCGCCAGTTCTACCAGTAAGTTACTTTGAGACTGGATCGTTATTTGAAATGTTATATTTAAAGTAGCACGGTAAAATAACATGTAAATAAACCTAAAGCGGCATGCTGACCGATTTACTGAACTCCTTACAAATAGAAGTGAATTATATATGTCCAGCTATACACCTTGTCCCAGCGTATAATCACTCAAAATAAAAAGTAAGGAAGCATCTATTACAAAAGACGGTAAGTTAGTGCAGAAAGTCAAACGTAGTTTACATTTCAACTGCAGAGTTTCAATTATTTCGGAAAAAATCTTATGCCTATTCAACTCCTGAATCTTTCGAATATATAATTAATGTGAAGTTATATCTTTGTCCACAGAAAACGAAGAAAAGCAGAAGCAAGTCTCTCCCAAGCAAGGATGAGGTTAACGATCCGTCTTTATACTCTTCACAGCCACAAGGTATTCATCACACCAGATAGGTTATACATTTTTTTTTCATATTTCTGTACGTTAACTATAATATTTTATTTATATCGGGAAACAGAACACATGCAGCATGACTTGAATATCTAAGGGACAGACCAATATCAAAAACAAGAACATAAAAAAGAAATATTGATATTTGCAATGAACAAATTTAAAGTAATATAGAAAGTAATCTTACGGAAGAAAAAGGTAAATTATTGGATAATTTCGCCAACTTATTAATTCCTACTTGGTTCGCAGTTATAAAAGTATATGTGTATTTCTTTTACAGGACTTAAATATGAAGATGAAGATGACCACCCATACGATGAAATAACGGACGAGGAAAGGTCGTCATTACGAGGTGACACATAATTTCAACATGGCTAACCTTTGCATGCACTTATCCTCGATACTCCAGAGGTTAAGCTCAATTACGCTTTCTGCACCCATAGATTATTTCGTGAAAACATCGCGACTCGGTGTGCGCCACCCTGTGGATGATACAAGCAGACTATTGTATACCAGGACATTTCCGCTGCAGTTTAATTTTCGCTGTGCTCGCCCTCCTCAGTTAGAGCGAATTTGTCATTACAGCGAACATTTGTAAACAACATAATATACATAGTAATAAAATGAGAAGAGCGAATTTAATATTGAGTGAAAATGGATGTTATTGCCGAAGGGCGAAACTTTGACTTGGCGAAAATTTTCCGGTATACAGTAGTTTGATCATGTGATGTACATTTGATCCAGCGGCAAGCATAACGATGAAATTGTCCGGCTTTATAGCATGTCGGTCCTTTGTAAACTTCAAACGACAAGTAACAGGTAGCCACGTGCCTTTAATTTTACCATGACATGATTTCCAGGGGTGCAGAAAGCGTAAGTGAGCGTAACACCTGGAATAACGATGATGAGTTATTATTTTTTTTATTTGTTCTACCTGTCGTGATGTGACCGAAATAGTACATGATTAAATCAATGTTTTATACTCAAGAATTGAGCATAGGTGGTGACTGATGCAAACAGATGTGAAGATGGCGATTAATCGTTAGTCTTCTCTCGGTGTAGGAAATATAGGCTTGAGAAAAGGTAGCTGGTGGTTCTAGTTTTTCAAGTTTTTTTAGTGAGTATTCACAACTATTTACTTCAATCAATTTCTTTTCATAAGTATGAAAAACTTTCTGCAACAGTTTCCTGTTGATAATGCAACATTGTAATGCGAAGAGGAGTGTTATACATTTTAATATTCATATTTCGACAGGTCGAAGACCCAAGTCTGAGTCCGATTCAGTAGAAAGCACCTTATCCAAAGTACCATTGGTAACCACTATATTGCTTTAGCACTCAAACTTCGATTACATTTTGAGTTCATGTAAGCTTTTAGGGGCTGTGATAGAAATTTAAGTTAAAATGCATAAAAATTGTTTACTATCACACAATAAATAAGATAATAGTCTTTACAAACGATATAATTCAAACAAATCAATTCCAAGAAATATGACTATGTTCATAGCACTATGCGGTAAAAGCCTTTTGCAAATATTAAACTGTATAAATATATGAATATGAGAGTGGATGTAAGACCATTTAAATGTGGAAGTATATTTAGCCTTCCAAGTCAAAATCTGTTATCCATTTTCATACAGATATAATCAATAGATAAAGCAGTAAAAGCAACAGTGAGGGAAAATAATTTGGAAAAAATGTCGATGTAGTGTTTTAACTATCAAGAAATGGACAGTTCGCAGTATTTGCGATATATGCAAATAATATGTAATATATAGCCTAAAGTGTCTGACAACATGGCAATCTTGCATATAACTATGATAGTATCGTCAGTAGCAACAAACAGCATACTTCTACCAAATAATAATTTAATTATTTCAGATGGTAAGAGAGAGTTTATTGAAAGTGCAAACTGAGTTCAGGAACTTTTGGAAGAACAAAATCACCAATTCAGTAAGCGATGATGACCAACCATCGTCAGAGAAAAGGCCAGGGAAGGTGCAGAGGTCGCAATCAAGTAGCTTTGATAACAAGACTGCACATGTGAATTATAAACAACACGTGAAACCGCCCGTGCAAGGTATGAAATCAAAACCTCTCAGTAGTTTTACTAACGTAGTGTTATTGTACTGATGCATTGATCAGCCATGATAGGATGTGGACACTTACATCACAAAAGTGTGTAACACTTTTGACTGGACCTTGCATTTTGTTACAAGAATGAACTCCGAATATTTAAGCGCCATTTCATGTTATGATGACTTTATATCAATACAAATCGTCTTCGTCCTTCGATGTTTGGTCCGATTTTTTAATAAGAAAATTGACCATATTTTCGAATAATCTTGAGCATTACCAGGATATCAACACAATATCTAACATGCAATTTTAAGAATAAATGTTTACGATGAATAAAAACCATGACTAAACATTTTTTTTCTGACGTCAAAGTACACTCACAAACATCCACTCGTGTGCGCACACTCGATGTTTACGTCTGTGATAAAATTGAGTGTTGTCTCCGACGTCATATTAAGACATATGTTCCTCGCACCTCAGACAGGATTACCCCGCCTAATATCCCGTACAAGATTTTGTTTATGTCGTCCGATCTGTGTCACACCTTTCCGCCACATCTTGCGAAATGATCACAAGGCAATGTATTCATCCGCGCGCTAACTCTCAAAATTGATAATATGCATTATAGATATAATGTTTGGTCGTAACATTTATTGTTTTGTTGTTGTTAGATTGATGATGTTGTAGATAATATATAATGTACAATGTGAAATACGTTTTCTTCTTTGTAAGGGCGGACTACATTGTTTACCCTGAAGCATTCAAACGTAGCTTTAGTAGTGAAGATGCCATATTAATGTGAAGGTCCGGACGGATTACTTGTAGAATAGAGAGAAATTGAATAGTTTTTCGAACTGAAAGGTACGAGAAAAAAAATCGGTTACCTGTAACTGAGCGACATCGAGTTATCTCGGTTTCGCGCTAAGCATCCGTAACATTCAAACATCGGCTTACACCTCGATTAGGAAAATGTAACGGAATCGTAGGCTTCGACTGAGATAACCCGATTTACATCAGTAACAAGTTATTGAGTTCATTAATGTCTTCGTTGATACCTACAGTGTCACGTTACAGGCTGGACATACACGTTGATGTAGGCGTCCTTGTACTCAACATTGTCGTTGCGTTTCTAGTTCATCAGCGTTCTCCTTGATAAATAACACTGATCTAACTACGTCTTACATCAACATGTAGTTGCCTCTTTTATTACGCTTAACGAAAGAAATGACCTGTTAATAAACAAAGCCATATTAATAACCAACATATTCAGAAAAAAAGCATTAACTATTCCTACTAAATTTTCAGAAATAAACATTAACTATCTTCGAAATCATTTCTATTTAATATAATCAGTGAAAATTATTACAACCTGCTCTTAAACAAGGATTCACTATCGCCATAATTTATTTTAAAAGAAGCATTAAATATTTACATATTTTGACCGCGTTTCAAATCTTATTTTTTTTATTATTTCTCCATATAATAAACATACGCATGTGCCACAGAAATAAAAAGTAATGCTTTAACATCTATGTGGGGTTGGGGGTTAGGTTGGGGATTGGGGGTTGGGGTTCATATGATTGAAGTTGACGATCGATATAACACGTTTCCTTAAACTAAACTAAATTATATCTCTATCTAGATCCTGGACCATCAGACGCTGATGAACAAACTAAACATGGAATCGCGTCAAAGGTATGAGACATATTAATATGTATCATTATTTAGTATATGAAAGGTATGTATTGTATGTAAGGAATGTCTAACGTGTATGTTATGTTATGTTTAGTATGTGTGGATTGCAGGTATGGTATGTTATGTTTAATATGTTTGGATTGTATGTAAGGTATGGCTAACATGTATGGTATGATATGTTTGGTTTGTGTGGATTGTATGGAAGGTAGGTCTAACATGTATGGTATTTTATGTTTGGTTTGTGTGGATTATATGTAAGGTATGTCTAGCATGTATGGTATGTGTGATTTGTTTGTATTGTTTGTAAGGTAGGTCTAACATGTATGGGATGTTATGTTTAGTATGTATGGATTGCAGGTATGGTATGTTATGTTTAATATGTTTGGATTGTATGTGAGGTATGTCTAACATGTACGGTATGTGGATTGTATGTAAGGTATGGCTAACATGTATGGTATGATATGTTTGGTTTGTGTGGATTGTATGGAAGGTAGGTCTAACATGTATGGTATTTTATGTTTGGTTTGTGTGGATTGTAAGCAAGGTATGTCTAACATGTGTGGTATGTTATGTTTGGTTTGTGTGGATTATATGTAAGGTATGTCTAGCATGTATGGTATGTGTGGTTTGGGTGTATTGTATCTAAGGTATGTCTAACATCTATGGTCTGTGTGGTTTGTGTGTATTGGTTGTAAGGTATGTCTAACCTGTATGGGATGTTATGTTTAGTATGTATGGATTGCAGGTATGGTATGTTATGTTTATTATGGGTGGATTGTATGTAAGGTGTGTCTAACATGTATGGTATGTCATGTTTAGTATGTGTGGGTTGTATGTAAGGTATGTGTAACATGTATGGTATGTGTGATTTGTTTGTATTGTTTGTAAGGTATGTCTTACATACAATCCACACATTCTAAACATAACATGTATGGTATGTGTGGTATGTGTGTATTGTGTGTAAGGTATGTATAACATGTATGGTATGTCATGTTAAGTATGTGTGGCTTGTATGTCAGGTATGTCTAACGTATGTATTGTATGTAAGGAATGTCTAACGTGTATGTTATGCTATGTTTAGTATGTGTGGGTTGCATGTATGGTATGTTATGCTTAGTATGGGTGTATTGTATGTAAGGTATGTGTAACATGTATGGTATGTCATGTTTAGTATGTGTGGGTTGTATGTAAGGTATGTCCAACATGTATGGTATGGTATGTTAAGTATGTGTGGTTTGTATGTAAGGTATGTCCAACATGTATGGTATGGTATGTTAAGTACGTGTGGATTGTATGTAAGGTTTGTCTAACATGTATGGTATGATATGTTTGGTTTGTGTGGATGAGACATATTAATATGTATCATTATTTAGTATATGAAAGGTATGTATTGTATGTAAGGAATGTCTAACGTGTATGTTATGCTATGTTTAGTATGTGTGGGTTGTATGTAAGGTATGTCCAACATGTATGGTATGGTATGTTGAGTATGTGTGGATTGTAGGGGGGGTATGTCTAACATGTAAGGTATGGTATGTTAAGTATGTGCGGATTGTATGTAAGGTATGGCTAACATGTATGGTATGATATGTTTGGTTTGTGTGGATTATATGTAAGGTATGTCTAGCATGTATGGTATGTTATGCTTAGTATGGGTGTATTGTATGTAAGGGATGTCTAACATGTATGGAATGTTATGTTTGGTTTGTGTGGATTTGTATGTAAGGTATGTGTAACATGTATGGTATGTCATGTTAAGTATGTGTTGGTTGTATGTAAGGTATGTCCAACATGTATGGTATGGTATGTTGAGTATGTGTGGATTGTAGGGGGGGTATGTCTAACATGTATGGAATGTTATGTTTGGTTTGTGTGGATGAGACATATTAATATGTATCATTATTTAGTATATGAAAGGTATGTATTGTATGTAAGGCATGTCTAACATGTATGGAATGTGTGGTTTGTGTGTATTGTTTGTAAGGTATGTCTAACATGTATGTTATGTTATGTTTAGTATGTGTGGATTGCATGTATGGTATGTTATGTTTAATATGTTTGGATTGTATGTAAGGTATGTCTAACATGTATGGTATGTTATGTTTAGTATGTGTGGATTGCATGTATGGTATGTTATGTTTAATATGTTTGCATTGTATGTAAGGTATGTCTAACATGTATGGTAGGTGTGGTTTGTGTGTATTGTTTGTAAGGTATGTCTAACATGTATGGTATGTGTGGTTTGTGTGTATTGTTTGTAAGGTATGTCTAACATGTAGGTTATGTTATGTTTAGTATGTGTGGATTGGATGTATGGTATGTTATGTTTAATATGTTTGCATTGTATGTAAGGTATGTCTAACATGTATGGTATGTGTGGTTTGTGTGTATTGTTTGTAACGTATGTCTAACATGTATGTTATGTTATGTTTAGTATGGGTGGATTGCATGTATGGTATGTTATGTTTAATATGTTTGCATTGTATGTAAGGTATGTCTAACATGTATGGTGTGTTATGTTTAGTATGTTTGGATTGTATGTAAGGTATGTCTAACATATATGGTATACTATGTATATTCTTGCATACTAGACCGAGATATCCGCATTTCTGGCGGTGCTGGAAAATTCTATCCGACCCACGGGTCTAGATCGCTTACACGCGCAGACAGGCGGGGAAATAATAGTGACCTATCGGGGGCACGCTATTGTTCGTGACGTCATTTTTGACGTTTTGAGGTCAGTCAGGGTCATTGACGTCACTAGCAATTGACATCCGGGCTTCATATGCAAATGAGAAATGTGCAGACATTTTACAACTTTACTAAAAGAGCAGCTGTTTTTACGGGTTTTAAGTAATAAGCAATAAAATCCATCCCTGATGTGAGGTAAGGATAAGGTTATTCAAATCCTCGGGATAAAATATTGAGCAAAAGACCCTCGGCAAAGCCTAGGGTCTCCTGCTCAATATTTTATCCCTTTGGTTTGAATAACCTTATTCATACCTCACACCAGGGATGGATTATATTAGACTATGTGGATTGTATGTAAGGTATGTGTAAAATGTTTGGTATGTTATGTTTGGTTTGTGTGTATTGTATGTAAGGTATTTTAAACATGTAGGGTTTGTTATTGTTAGTATGTGTGATTAGTATTGCACAAATAGTATATACAGTATTTACATAACACGTAAGGTATGAAGAGCTTGCCAATGGTTCATGGAAATTGTTTCCGAGTACGGAAGGAGGAATAATGTATTCCAATTGGAAACTATGGTTTTCTAAATATGTTATATTAACGTTGTCGGAGAAAAAAGTTCCCTTAACTCGTAACAGTAAATTATCATGTTTACGATCTGAAAATTAAATAACTCGAGTTAGCAAACCATGATAACCATCCATCACTTTTTCGGGAACCCATTAATCACTTTCTATTCATTGAATCCAATCATCATCTTTAAAATTAACAATTTCGCTCTTGTAATTTTTTACATGCTCTCTTTATTAATGGAATTTACATTGTTGAACTAGAAATACTTGACACAAATAGCATATATTCCATATATAAATAAAGATCAAGTGTTCATATTTGATGTACATTGATACTAGTTAATGTTTTAATTATTTTTACAGTGCATTATATCTGCAATCATATTTAGTCTATTTTACATCATTTTGTAAGACAGAAAATAAGTGTCTAAAATCAGGATCAAATCCGGAACTAAATATGTCGTGTTTATATTTAAACTTGACTTGTTACTGTGATTATTGGTGTATATGCATCTTGGTAATAACACAAGGTTTTTGATTTGGTTCTTGCCTGTTAATCTGGCATTATATTTTTTGTTTATTTTAAAGACCGGGAAAAAAATTGCGGACATTTGGAAGAAGATGAAAAAACCTGACGTCAAAGAAATGCAACCCCCAAAATTTTCTACTCTAGATACGAGTGATCTTGCTGATTATCTACGCAGGTGCAATCTAAACGCTATGGCCGACTGTGTTGAAGAAGAACAACTGAATGGAAGTTTTTTCCTCGATACAACCGATGAGGACCTTAAAAGCATATTCGGACTTAACCAAATACAGATTATGAAATTTAAGAAAATGCGAGACGAAGGTTGGGAGCCGAATAAGTAGCAAGCCGTTTATTGTCACCATTGAGTCATTTGTTTTAATAACTTTTTTTTAAAGAACGATTTTTCATCTTTGTAAATATATACATTAATTTTAAGTCTTCCAATACGTTGTGACTGTCTAATTTTGTGACGTCCACCATCCTCGATACTCCAGGGGTCACGCTCACGTACGCTCTCTGCACCCCAGGAATTTGTCATAGGAAAAAGGCGCAAAGATAACTTTTTGATTAGTCTCAGGTATTTTTTGACCGATCGCAAGGCTATCAGGGGCTACTCAATCAACCCTATAAGCTAACTATATACAATACTACAAAAACAAATGTGTACTGACGTGTAGCCTCTTAAGCAAAGAAAGAGGCCACAAGGAAAAAGAATATATTCTGAGCAATATATTTTTAGTAGGCCAGACAACTCTTCAGCGATTCAAGACAGGTCAAGACAGGCCAAATGTAAATATCTAGTGAAATGTTCTTGAGCGATTCAAGACAGTATACATGTAGATATCTAGAGCAAACCCTTGAGCGATTCAAGAGCTGCATATAAAATACTCATATATATAAGTAGTAAAGAAAGCTTTTAAGCGATTTAAAAGCAGAGAGCTAAATTTGCCTTGAGCGATTCAAGAGAGGCCTGTCCTTTGAAGATTACAGGAACGACACCCGATTTCAAAATCAGCCAATCTGTTTATGTACAACACAGGATCAAATTAGTTGTATCGTCTTCCATCGAAACGTCGCGAAGACAGAGCCTTCAATTTTGTCATGCATGACAAATTCCAGGGGTGCAGAGAGCATAAGTGAGCGTAACTCCTGGAGTATAGAGGATAGACATCCACATGGCAGTTCATGAGGTCATTAGTGTCGCTTGAATAGCTTTAGAGGTGATGTTTTTGTATATAGCAGTGCTATATGAAACTGATGTGGGTTTGAATAACCCCTCTTTTTATAGGTGGCTAAGTTATCAATAAATAATAATAAAACATATATCCCAAATATTGTACATTGACAATATTGAAAAATGGATAAAGCTATTTGATTGGTTCCATATATACAATCTTGAACGAGATTTGATTGGTTCCATGTATAAAATCTTGAACAATCGGTAGGCTGAGGCCGGTTCCTTGAAGATTACAGAACATCTACACTCAAATCAAAGCATGTCGGTTTTACCGTTTCGTTACTGTACGACTTTCCCTGTGGTCTTAATCAAACAGTTTAATTGTGGCATCCGCGGGGTGTTGCCTAAAAGGTTTATTCATCAGCACTTAGCACCGAAATGAGTTTCTAATAATCGATAAACGGAGGTTGCGTTTCTGTGTCTTCATAGTAAGGAAGAAAAAGAAAAAGAATCAGATTTACTTATTGGAAGGGGTTATATTTTGCTTCCTATCTTAGCGGTTATCATTATGACAATGGTTACGAAATGAATCAATATTATCCCAAGTATGATATTTTGTTGTCGCTTCTTTCATGGCTAAATTTACTTATGTTTCTCGTTTTAGTTCTTTATACAACTTAAAATGTGATGTACCTGTTCTTTCTTATTTGACCAGTTTTAATGCTAACGATTTCTAGCTTGACTGAATCTGACAAAACGGTTTCCTTTCTCCCTCTCAATCCCGTTTTAGCGGGCTGTGCAATAATTTCGTATTGTATAAACATACTCTACTTTTATTAATATTTGTATTTAATGTACTTTTTTGTTGATTACCGGCAAAGTTATATATAAATTTTATTACATACCGTTTCAAAGATGTATTGCTTATGGGGGTCGCATATTTTCGTTGTCAATCAAGGTAAAATTGGTTATTTTGTAAGACAATTGAGAACAAAAACTGACTTAGGTCTTCATGTATTTTAACATTACACATTTTTGCACAAGCACTTAAATTTTCAAACCATTCGAAATGAGTCACACTGATTTACAATCTATTAAGTGATAGACAGAAACAAATGTGAATTTATTTTGATGACGTCAAACACAAAGTACTACTTTTTCCACAAAACAATATTCATCATCTGTGACACTTGAATAATCATCTGCAACCTCGTGCTTTGAAATCGGAAATTCGAGCAAGATACTCGATTCTAAAACAGACGACAATGAAATGTTCCTTACGAGTAGCGACGATTTATACATGGCCTTATTAGCGTCATTATTTGAGAGAATAAATGTAAATGAGCCTATTGGAAGCTCCGGCTCCATTAGATTGGTGCATCATAGCACACGTGAGGGAATTAAAATACGGTATTTGATTTATCAACACAAAAACCATTGCCCCATTCATAAAAAGCAGTGTAAATGAAAATGACAATGAAAAGATTTTCTTTCTATTTTTTTTATTTTTTTATTAGGATTGGACAAGATAATACAGTTTTCTCAACAATGTGTTATCCTTTTCATTATCTGATGAAAGTGACAGAGTACATATTGTACATGTCGTTGTTACCAGGAATCAAAACGTCACACATACACATTTCACTGGTTGTACTATATGACCCTCTATAAAACTGGAAACATTATAAGGGCTAACGTTTTGACAACTTTCAAAATAAGATCAGATTTATAATCAGAACGTTGATATTATTGATATCGTGTGTAACATCTTGATTTATCATATCTATATCTGAGACTGACAGGACTATTGTTCCTCTTGATGTTTCTCTTTTCGGGGTTCAAGGTTGCCAGATGATATGATGGTGAGGTTAGACATTTTGCCTTTTCACTTCGATGGTATGATACGTTTTGATTGACATTTTGAAATGTAACTTAGAGTTGGTTATTACATATAATGATTTTCTTGTAACTTTCATCCTTTGATTTATAGAAAATGTTTGTTTTGATGTATTCATCTCTTGCTTCCTTAGACAAAGGGATCACTTGCCTAAAAGAATATTTTAGCTTATTTGATGTGCATATTGCTGGCTCATTTTGAGCTTGATATTGTACTTAACTCACGGATTATCACCTCGTCTCAGTGTGATAGTTTTGAATGTTACCCTATTTGTATAATAATGAGATGAATTCTGTTGGCATGAGTACAACTAAAATCAACTGTAATTTCGGTTTAAAATGACTGAAAGAAAATATTTTCTACTGATTCAATCATTTAGTTAATGTCAGCATTACCATTTTCTGTGTACAGTTTTTATGTTTGAAAACACAATATATCTATTTTCTGAAATTTCGATAATTTATTCTTTTATGTTATATTACTAAGCTACATAATCTTGATAAGTGTAAAAGTGGCAATAACACAAGAAGATCTACGTTTATTTTCTATGTATCTGGTTGTAACATATACATCACATCAGCCTAGCTTATTTCATTAACCCATTAATATATGAAGGATTGTTTCAGTGTACCCGCTGTTCTATCTGCGCATCTAATGTACGTCCCTGTTACTGCAGAATCGTCCTCCGGCGTTATTTCTTATGCTCATTGTGTTTTTCCTTCATCCTTTCTTTAGCTAAGGATTGGTAAGTAATGTCGTTAAGTACTGTGCGATAAAGGAAAACAGAAAGATATAAAAGGTGTATCACATGAAAACAATGTGTTATACGGACAGATGATCCTGACTTAACACTATGACATCACATGAACCTCGTGACCGGTAATCTGATAAAAATTCTCGCCAGTTAGGTGCGGTCACCTTCGATTGCCTACAGTGTATATAAAGATAATGTGGCACATTTGCATACTAATTTATTAACTATTTTGTATTCATTGAATTGCGTTTTCTCCTTAAAACATCCGTATTAACATTTCAGATTCCATGCACAAAATGTTTATAATACGAAAATATTTTACATAATTGTTTGAAAGTTTGAAGTTGAAGTATTCTGGATTTATCCCCCATTGTACAATCATGTAGTTTAATTTTATTCAATTTTTATTTTGTTATTTTGCTTTGCTGTGTTGTAAATATATTAAAGATGTAAGACGAAAACGTTCTATTAAGTGGAATACTGGGCAGTCTAATTCCTTCGATAGACTCTGTATAGTGATAATACTGAAAAAAATCAATATATTTTTTTGTTCATGAAGGACAATTTCAATATCTGTTGAGCAAATACAATTAAGCATTTAGTCTATTGATAGACACATTTGATAATATATTTGACAGTTTGTTTCAGGTGATCATAACATATAGCAGCCACGCGCATAGTTCTACCAATCTAAAATAGTTGAAGTAGTATATACTTTTAATGCTTTTTTGACTTATATGCATTCATGTGTGTTATACAAAAGGATAAAATTAAACTCAATTTCAAAACATAGTACTTTTCCTTTCTTTTGTGCATATAAGAAGTCCGAATATTTGTGAGAATTATTCTCAGGAAATTCTTTCTCCAATTTCACATGAAAGTTACCCTTGATCTCAAGTTAGGGATGTTGTATTTTGGTACTGGTCGGAAAGTCAGTTTTGTTATCTCTATTTCTAAAGAGGTACTGGACAGATTTTTATCAAATTCCGTATGTTGGTTTTTATTAGGCTTAAAATGGGCCTGTTTCATTTAAGGCTGATCAGAAAAATGAAATGGGTGCCAGGCATCCATCTTGAACAACGACAGTTCCAATTTACTATCATTGTTTTCGAAAAAGTACAGGACAGATCTATCTCAAATTTAGGTTTCCTTTCTTACACATTATCTGGATAGTTGCGCTCTTTATCATAATTTACTGCATGGATCTTTCTCAGTTTTCACATAGTTGTTTCTCGAAGGTCAAGTTAGGAATATATATTTATGGGACTGATCGTAAAACTAAGTTGGCTGAAGGGGCCATCTTGTGAATGTATCATTTTAAGACAGGAACAGGATGGCTACGAGATAGCAAACTTAGATTTTCAGAGTTTAATTTCATGATAACCTCTTCTCCAAACTCTCAAACTGCAAATTAAGGTATCCTTTGTTACATATTACGTTTTGTGCTAGTAAATACATGCAGTTAACCTGATTCATAGAACCAATGACGACGGTGTGATGGTGGGCGCCAAGATAACTCTCGGATCTCTTGCCTTTTAGATCCTCTAAGACAGTGTTTGCGATCGCCTTTAGTCCGTCCTCGTGCGTCGAGCGTCCGTAAAAGGGTCAAAGTTTCAACCATTTCTCCAAAACTTTGCAAGGTTTATGGCAGAAGACGCACCCAAATTGTAAACTATACTCACTCATAGATGACCGTCGGCTTCGGCTTAGGAGAGGTGAAATTAGCCTAATAGTCAAAAGACTTCTTCGAATAAACCAGGAATGCTTTGATTCCATACGCTTTTGTTTATCAAAATTGTTAAAAAAAATATATTCCGGGTCATCCATTCCCCCTGGGAATGTGATTAAAAACTTTCGTGGTAACCATTTCACTTTGGGTGGAATTAAAATCATAAGGTTTATAGTATAAAACTTGGGATCCTGACATCTCGTCTCCGTTCAAAGGGCTTGTGGTGGAGTCCAGAAGTCTAAAAATGAGTTGGTTGTCGCTCCTCTGTAATCATTCAAAGACAGGCATCAGATTTGCGATTGGCCAGGTTTTATACCTAAAATCAATCAAATAGCGAAGTTCTCTATGCTCTACTTAAAGTCTGTGATTACAAACTGTCACATTTCGGGCTTTTTATTTATTCTCAAATAATGTATTTAAATGGTATTAAGTTTGGTTTTTGTTGACATAATGGGTAATATCAATGTCTAATTAAGTCATTCTTTAAGGACACTTTCCTTATAACGATCTGCACGAACTATAACAATGATTTAAGTCAGTATAACTCTCTGGCTTATTTTAGAGGGCTGGCATATTCTAGAAGGCTATATAAGTCGTTCAATGTCATAGGGGAAACATTATGGTCATGATTTAGCCAGTGGAAAACTGGAGTAGTTGTTCGAATAGTAAGTATCTTTTTTCGTGAATTGCAGCGGTGAACCTTGTCAAGAAATAAGCTGTTCTCAAGGACTATAATGCTCATGGGATTATGTTCCAAGTCCAAAATAATCATTTAATAACGGATGTTTTTCATTTCAATAAATTTTACTTCCAAGATATTACCGTCAAATGGATCAAACAAAAGGCTTAACCTACATAAATTCTTTCCATGAGTGGCTAGAAATATGTTAGCAGAGTATTGACTAATTGAAATTAAATTTACTTTGAAATTAAAAAGTATATGGAATAATAACGGTGTAAGGGGAAATAAGTCTAACTTTTAGAATTATTGAGATGAACACGTATTGTTTCTTTGATTATGTTTATTTCAAATGTCCAGAAGTCCACGTGCATACAATGTTTATATGCACAGATCGTGGCTACTTACTCTTTGACAACACTTTAGATGTAAAGTGACAAAGTATAACATGTATATTAAGAGAGAGAATAACAACCATGTCCTACTGCCTTCTCCTCTATCCCTATGAACTTGTCTAAAATTTAAATAGTTGTAAATGGAGTAAAAAATGTTGTTTTTCTGATATAATTATCATGACTATCAAAGAGAGAGAGAGAGAGAGAGAGAGAGAGAGAGAGAGAGAGAGAGAGAGAGAGAGAGAGAGAGAGATGAAAGCTGACGTGAACTATATTTACCGACACAGACGGCACTAGTAATAATTTTCCATTTCCAAAACTCCCCTTTTCGAATTTTTAGTTACTTACCGTACCATGGTTGCTTTCTCCTTTGCCCTCCCATTTACCCCGGTATATCTTCGTTTTGTCCGTGTCGCAATATTAGAAGTTCGACCCATAAACTTTTAACATGCTTTATAGGGTATAACATCAGTTTCTTAGTCTGACATCAAATGATAAAGGGCAACTTGTACATGATATGTAACGCTCTGTTTTATCTCTAGGTCTAAATCTGTCCATGGTCGAATTATAGAAGGAGAAAAAGATGTCTGTTGCAGTCGGAAATTAGATATAGTATGGGTCATTAAAGAGTTATATTGTTAGTTTTCTGAGTATTTATTTTCTCCAATACTTCACCTAGATAATGGTTCCATCCTCGATACTCTATGGGTTCCGTTCGCTTTCGCTCTGTGCACCCAAGAAAATATCATAGCAAAGTTGAAGGCATTCGTCTAGCTATTTGATTGGTCCCAGGTAAAAAAAAAAACTGACCAATCGCTCGGCTGATACTGTGTCCTTTGAAGATTACAGAAAAGCAACACACTACTTGAAAGGCAGTCAATTTTACCGTTACGCGACCGCAATTATACACCAAAGGATCAACTTCTGGTATGATCCACAAAATGGCGTACACTTAGCCTTCGATTTTGTCATGACATGCAGAGAGCGCAAGCGAACCCCTGGAGTATCGAGGATAGACTCTACCTTACGTTTGAGGTACACGGATTGTCTAATTGTTTAAATGGGTAATCCCGTGATAATACGAGCAGACTCGAGTTTATTTCCCTCCAATCCCCATGTTATGAGTATAACAAATCCATACCTGAAGCAGTATATTCTTATAAAAGCAGAATGTCTGATTTCTGCATTTTGTTAAGGGTGGTACATTTCGTCCATTTGGAGAAAACTTAGTTTTTACACTTTCAACGTGGCTACTCCATTTTATCCCAGGGGCCAGAGAGCAAAAGTGAGCGTAACGCCTAGAGTATCGAGGATGTACCTGCTCAGGCTCAGTGTATAGGGATACCTGGTGTGATGCATATAGCTATAGTGTTTGTCAGGTGTGTGGGAATTTTTAGATATACACCTACGTATACTGTGTCTATTCTTTTTTGTAAATATCACTTTAGTTTTTTGGAACAGAGAGCGTATATGACCAAAATCGCGTCTCTGAAAAACGACACACGTACACGAACAACATAACGATATATCTTTTTTTTTGTCAACCAATGTTACTAAAATTAGAATTGTCATTGTAAGAGGCCCCTAGTTAAACATGGCAGTGGCGAGCGCGGCTGAGACTCTGACGTGGTCTCAGAACGTATGTACTCTAGGGGAGGCAATCGTTTCGCACACCCTCCCCGTCCTTGTCAGGGTTGAGGAAAGGAGCTGTGGGCACCAAGACACTACTTTATCACACGGGGATATACTAAAGCTAGACACAATACACTGGATACCTAGCGTACAGGCGTGTAGCCTGACACGGAAGTTAGAATCCTCTTCATGGGAATTCATTCATAACAAGGACACCTTCTCCATTCCCCTTGGATATAAAGGACTTTTAAGATTAACCAATCCGAATGCACGTATGACAGTGTTCGGCAGTGTTAAAGAAGTACTGAAAGCAAGGCCAAGGTATGTTCGGACTATAGAACCTGTTATACAAAATGGCCAGGTCGTTATCGGTAAGAAATGTGATCTAGAAATCACAATATGTGCGGAACAGGTTGTTTGTACATATGCTGACAATACATATGTTTTAGATGAAGATACAGAAACCAAACTTCTTCACCTTCCTGACGATTCCCTGTACACATTACAAGAGGTATGTGACCGGTATCCTTACCCACAGTGCGTATCTTTCATAAAAAATGACTATACTGAATGGTTACCCGCAGAAATTGGTACGAATTTCATAAGGGAGGTGGGAGCCGACCAAGAGCTCATTGAGGGAACATTTCAGCTGAGTGGTGCTATTCAGCAAGACCTGGTGGTGGGGTGCTGTAAAGCTGTCTGTGAGGCCCCATGTGGGTCCGGGATCGCTCCTAATGATCAGAATGTGATCATCATCCGGCCTGACAGTAGTACTGTGAAACACGTGCACGTCGTGGTTTGTCAAGCTGAAAATTCCAGGGCCTACCAAAGTTTTATTGGCAGTCATTTCCAATGGGAGACTGGATTAGACCAATCCATATTGGACGAGGCAATTATCATGGATTTCCTTATTTTGAAAGATTCTCGCCCCACAGTAAACAATACGCGACACCCTACGGAACTGACAGGTAGTTATTTATGTATCACCTTTATGTTTACAGTCAGTGCTAAAATACTGACGATTCAAAGCGACATGATACGGAACTGACAGGAAATTGTTGATACTATAATGGTACACTTTTGTCCAGTTAAGCATTCGCCCTTCACCAGTAAAATCCCTGTCGCCCAGTGTAAATGTCGCCTTTTACATGTAATTACTATATATGCTATGTTGAGTTATAATATTAGCTGTCAGGATAAATTGGCCCTTATCGCGGAAGGTGAAGTAGTAGAGTTTAATTGCGACGGTATAATATTACCTTATTTGATAGTTGAAGGCATTTTGATTTAAAGATGTGTGATTTAACTTGAAATATACATTTACAAAGATAAGAACATGTTTTATGTCAGAGGTATACATACATAGCATAGCATTATGCACGGTAACCTTGTTCAATAATTGTTTATTTCCATCAGACAATGTCAGTTCTTGACTTGGTATTTTCAAAGTAAATATTCCATCCTCGATACTCAAGGAGTTACGCTCATGTTCGCTCTCTGCACCCCTGGAATATGTCATACAATGTAGCAAAATAGATGGCACGCGGGTAGCTATTTGATTGGTCTCAGGTAAAAAATATCTGACAAATCGCTAGGCTGAAACCAGTCATTTGCTGATTAAAGAGGAGCGACACCCGACTTAAAAGCCAGTCAATTTTGCCATAACGCGACCGCGAGATTCTTTTAGTGTACATCAAAGGATCAAACTAGTCTTCTTGTTTTATACGCAAGGTGGTGCACACTTAGCCTTCGATTTTGCTGTGACATTTTCCAGATATTCATCTGTGGGAGACAACATACCTTCTCTATTACGGATCGAAATAGATCGTTGATCTTTAAAAATAATAATGAAATGGAAGTAGAAGAGTAATATCCTTATGTTAAAGAGGTGATTTTTCTGTAAAAAATGAATGCCCTTCCCATTTTTTTTCTCGTGGCTTTGTCCTCATGGAAAAGTTGAACACTTTTAAATGTACTCTCCGATGTTTTATTCCTAAAGGTCCAAAATACCTTTTTTGTTTTAACCCTAGTTAATAATTACTCTCACATGTCACTTATCCAACATAAAGTCAGGAATCTAAATCTTAACAGATATTTAAATTACAGTCACCTGTGTGTGTTACGTCTATCTTTCAAGATACAAGGTGGATTTGTTTTAAATTAACCAGTACTCTAAGTTTTTGAAATTCATAATTTCAGGATTTTTATACACCTACCCTTCTGGTTCAATAGTAGTTCAGACCTATTTAGATTTCCAACCTTTAGGCCCCTAGCATCACGAAACAACTGTATGACGCAGTGTAATTTATTTCAGGCATGAGAGTTTTGTGTGTGGCGATACGAACGTCAACGCTATACTTAGTAGTCCTTATTTTATTTTGTAACAGGTCAAAGTCAGACTGCAGGTTTAACGGACACACAGACACCAACGTTAGAGGTAAGTTTTAAGTTATGTAAATCGGGTTTGGTGATTATTTAACGTTTTCTTGTATACAGGGGATTGTCCTCACCCATGGTGATTGTGTATTTAACACTGCCAGTGCACCGATAAAATGTCAACAGCGATCATTTCAAATATTGACTTCACGGATTTCCACAATGTCGTGCAAAACTGTTCCATAAAGGCGTTAGATGGTACAGATACCCTATGAAGGACGTTCTGACCATCTCCACCAAATGATGTCCAAATATAACACATTTGGTTATGTACATACTTCATAATCAGTTTGCTGATAACGTCATGTTGGAGTTGAAGGTTACGGTAAAGATTTATTTAACATGTAATAGTATGGAAGGGGATTACAGACATAATTATATTTGTTCAAGTTGGTTACTTCTGGTTTGGAATCTTATTCTATGTTCATTTGTATTGTTTCCTTCGTTAAGAAATGTCGTTGTTCTTTGCTATGTTCGTTCGTGTTGTTGCATTTGTATACAAAATCAATTGGGTGTTCATTCCGTGCTATGTCAATCGGTGGTGGCTCGTGTTAGCTTAGTATTCACTTCATTCAGGATTTACGTGATGTATATTGCCAATAAAATTTGTCATTTTATTTTATGCTGTATTCATTTTTGTAAAAAAAAAATCGAAACTAATTTCTTAATCAGAAAAGGCTAGCTAATCAAGCAGTCAGCAAGTAAGCCACTAGATGAAATATGAGAGGTTAATCATAAACTTAGTTTCGAACATTTTATTATTTAAAGTCTCAAAACGGATTCAAATCCCCACAGAATTGGATAATTAAATCCAGAATGGAGCTAATTCAAAACTAACACAAAAACGCGGTCTGTCCAATTGACATAGCATGGGATGAAAAGTAGCATAGCATGAAATGAACACACAATAGATCTATTTACGAATAGAACAAAGACGTTTCTCAACGAAGGGAATAATACAAATGTACATGGAATAAGATTATAAATCAAAAGTAACCAACTTGAACAAATATAATTATGGTGGTGATCCCCTTCCCTAGACATAGACAGTAACTGACTGTACATGAGTTATTCATATTTTTCTCTTATAAGATATGTATACTCTAATAAATGAAGTAAATAAAAATGAATTAATTAAATTGGAATTGCTGAACATGGAATACAAATTAGTGCTTAAGTAATACTATATTCGTATAATATACCAACACATTTTTTTTCCTAATCTTCAGAACATGCATCAAGATGCAAGCTATATGGAGATTGGCTTATATGAGAATGACGATCATTTGTATACTGTACCAGAAACCCGCGGGGAGGCTGGAGGTTTAGAACTACCGAACTGTTATCACAGGGATGATGGATTCGTGCAAAAGGCAAAGGCGTTGTTCTCAAAATTGAATTTGAAAGACAAAGTTCAAAAACTGAAATCCAAAGTCGTAACAGCGGTTCAACCAGAAACATCGAATATACATGTAAATGACATCACTGATGATGATTACATTATTCCAGAAAGACCACTACCAAAACCACCAACACAAACACCACTAAAGCCGCCAACAAAACCAACACTAAACCAGAAGGTCAAGAAAATACCTAAAGACTCTCACAAGTTTTTGTCAAAACCGAAACTGTTTGTTAATCAGGAAAATCCTTACACAGTTCAAAAACTAGAACCGAACACAGCCAGAGTATTTAAAAAAGAGATCCAGAGAGATGTTATGAGTGATGTAAGTGATGGCGACGGGGCAGATTACGTAAATGTAGAAAATGTACTACAGAAACATACAGAAATCCAAAAGCCCAAAGACGGCCCTAAAGATTTGAACAATGAAGAACCGTCCGTTAGTCAAGAAAACGCTTCCGTCATGCGGTCGACGAACGAAATCGACCCACCAGACAAAGTGTTTGCGTCCCTGTCCGTGACTGGACTGGCCAATCGATTGGTGACATGCGGACTGAAATCTGTGGCTGAATTTTGTCTCCAAGAGAAGGTGGATGGTCGCCTGTTTACCACTTTTACGGACGATGATTTAAGAGCTGTGTTCTCAATGAGCCAACTTCAAATAAAGAAAATACGAATGGCACAAAACCTTGGTTGGACACCAAAAGTCTGAGCTGTCATATTTCACTGGTGTTAATTTGCTTGTTAGAAAGTAGCATGTGATTTTATTGCTGATGGACGAGGGAGGAAATACGAACTATCATATCATGGATATATGCATGGACACATGTAGTCACTAAGAGTTCATGTTATGTATACTGATATTGATGCATACGTATATGCAATAAAGAGCAGTTTGTTAATGCACAATAGTTAGTGTTAAAACAATTAAATATCTTCTGATGAATAATACGACGGATCGTTTCAGGCGACAGTTTACAAAACCATTGCAGATGTTGTCCCGTGCTAACAATCTTATACACGCGCTTTTGTCCCCAAGGAGGTTATCTAAATGTCTTAACACTAATTAAATATTGATATTTTTAACAGTTAAAGAACACAGGAGAAATGCAATGCAATATGTTCTTCTGCTGTTTTTATTATTGTATTTCATTAAGTTAATTTATTGACTTTTCTGTGTTTTTTTCTCTCATTGAAATATTATTATTAATTAGCTTAATAAAAATAATAATATATATATTATATAGTTTACGTGAGCTTTTCAAACATTTCACAAGATATATCCAGATGCAAATAATGTATGTCAATATCTAGCCATGTAAGTTATAGCAGAATCATTTATGTCAAGATCCTGCCATGTATAACAGAATAATATATTTCAAGATCTTGCCATGTAGGTTATGACAGAGTTCATTGTTTTATTTACAAGCCTAATATTAGATCTGTATGCTTAGAAAATACATATCAAACTGAACATGATATCAATAACACAACACCCAAAAGCAAGTGGTCCGGAAGAGTAAAAGATTGGTTACATACCAGCCTCAAGTCCTCAGTACGTCTCTCTTCATTGGATACATACCAGCCTCCAGTCCACAGGACGTCTCTCCTCATTGGTTACATACCAGCCTCCAGTCCACAGTACGTCTCTCTTCATTGGTTACATACCAGCCTCCAGTCAACAGTACGTCTCTCCTCAATGGGTACAAACCAGCCTCAAGTCCACAGTACGTCTCTCTCTCCATTGGTTACATACCAGCCTAAAGTCCTCAGTACGTCTCCCTCCATTTGTTACATACCTGTCTCCAGTCCTCAGTACGTCTCTCTTCATTGGTTACATACCAGCCTCAAGTCCACAGTACGTCTCTCCTCAATGGGTACAAACCAGCCTCCAGTCAACATTACGTCTCTCTTCATTGGTTACATACCAGCCTCCAGTCCTCAGTACATCTCTCTTCATTGGTTACATACCAGCCTCCAGTCCACAGTACGTCTCTCCTCATTGGTTACATACCAGCCTCCAGTCCACAGTACGTCTCTCTTCATTGGTTACATACCAGCCTCCAGTCCACAGTACGTCTCTCCTCATTGGTTACATACCAGCCTCCAGTCCACAGTACGTCTCTCTTCATTGGTTACATACCAGCCTCCAGTCCACAGTACGTCTCTCCTCAATGGGTACAAACCAGCCTCCAGTCCACAGGACGTCTCTCCTCATTGGTTATATACCAGCCTCCAGTCCACAGTACGTCTCTCTCACCATTGGTTACATACCAGCCTAAAGTCCTCAGTACGTCTCCCTCCATTTGTTACATACCTGTCTCCAGTCCTCAGTACGTCTCTCTCTTCATTGGTTACATACCAGCCTCAAGTCCACAGTACGTCTCTCTCTTCATTGGTTACATACCAGCCTCAAGTCCACAGTACGTCTCTCCTCAATGGGTACAAACCAGCCTCCAGTCAACAGTACGTCTCTCTTCATTGGTTACATACCAGCCTCCAGTCCTCAGTACATCTCTCTTCATTGGTTACATACCAGCCTCCAGTCCACAGTACGTCTCTCCTCATTGGTTACATACCAGCCTCCAGTCCACAGTACGTCTCTCTTCATTGGTTACATACCAGCCTCCAGTCCACAGTACGTATCTCCTCAATGGGTACAAACCAGCCTCCAGTCCACAGGACGTCTCTCCTCATTGGTTATATACCAGCCTCCAGTCCACAGTACGTCTCTCTCTCCATTGGTTACATACCAGCCTAAAGTCCTCAGTACGTCTCCCTCCATTTGTTACATACCTGTCTCCAGTCCTCAGTACGTCTCTCTCTTCATTGGTTACATACCAGCCTCAAGTCCACAGTACGTCTCTCTCTTCATTGGTTACATACCAGCCTCAAGTCCACAGTACGTCTCTCCTCAATGGGTACAAACCAGCCTCCAGTCAACAGTACGTCTCTCTTCATTGGTTACATACCAGCCTCCAGTCCTCAGTACATCTCTCTTCATTGGTTACATACCAGCCTCCAGTCCACAGTACGTCTCTCCTCATTGGTTACATACCAGCCTCCAGTCCACAGTACGTCTCTCTTCATTGGTTATATACCAGCCTCCAGTCCACAGTACGTCTCTCTCACCATTGGTTACATACCAGCCTCCAGTCCTCAGTACATCTCTCTTCATTGGTTACATACAAGCCTCCAGTCCACAGTACGTCTCTCTCTTCATTGGTTACATACCAGCCTAAAGTCCTCAGTACGTCTCCCTCCATTTGTTAATACCTGTCTCCAGTCCTCAGTACGTCTCTCTTCATTTGTTACATACCAGCCTCCAGTCCTCAGTACGTCTCCCTCCATTTGTTACATACCTGCCTCGAGTCCGCAGTACGTCTCTCTCTACATTGGTCACATACCAGCCTCCAGGCCTCAGTACGTCTCTCTTTATCGGTTACATATCAGCCTCCAGTCCTCAGTACGTCCATCTTCATTGGTTACATTCCTGCCTCAGTAGTAACATACCAGTCTTCCCTCCCAAGTAGTAGCATACTAGTCTTCCCTCCTCATTAGTAACATACCGACCTTCCATCCTCAGTAGTAACATACTACCCTTCCCTCCTCAGAAGTAATATACCACCCTTCCATCATCAGTAGTAACATACCACCCTTCCCTCTTCAGTAGTAACATACCACCCTTCCCTCTTCAGTAGTAACATACCACCCTTCCCTCCTCAGTAGTAACATTCCACCCTTCTCTCTCAGTAGTAACATATCACCCTTCCCTTCTCAGTAGAAACATACCACCATTCCCTCCTCAATAGAAACATACCAGTCTTCCATCCTCAATAGAATCACAAATCGTACTTCTCAATAGTAACATGCCACCCTTCCCTTCTCAATAGAAAGATATCAGTATTCTTTCCTCAATAGAAAAATACCAGTCTCCCCTTCTCAGTAGTAACATACCATCCTTCCCTCCTCAGTAGTAACATACCAGCCTCCCTCTTTAGTAGTAACATACCACCCATACCTCCTTAGTGGTAACGTACCAGTATACCAACCCCATATGTTACATACCAGTATTCCTTCCTTAGTAGTAACGTACCAGTATTCCTCCCTTAGTAGTAACATTCCAGTATTCCTTCCTTAGTAGTAACATTCCAGTATTCATTCCTTAGTAGTAACATACCAGTATTCCTTCCTGAGTAGTAACATACCAGTATTCCTTCCTTAGTAGTAACATAACAGTATTCCTTCCTGGGTAGTAACGTACCAGTATTCCTCCCTTAGTAGTAACATAACAGTATACCTTCCTTAGTAGTAACATTCCAGTATTCCTTCCTTAGTAGTAACGTACCAGTATTCCTCCCTTAGTAGTAACATACCAGTATTCCTTCCTTAGTAGTAACATACCAGTATTCCTTCCTTAGTAGTAACGTATCAGTAATCTTCCCTTAGTAGTAACGTACCAGTATTCCTCCCTTAGTAGTAACGTACCAGTATTCCTTCCTTAGTAGTAGCATACCAGTATTCCTTCCTTAGAAGTAACATATCAGTATTCCTTCCTTAATAGTAACATAACAGTATTCCTCCCTTAGTAGTAACATACCAGTATTCCTTCCTTGATAGTAACATACCAGTATTCCTCCCTTAGTAATAACGTACCAGTATTCCTCCCTTAGTAGTAACGTACCAGTATTCCTTCCTTAGTAGTAACATACCAGTATTCCT